CACACACACACACACACACACACACACACACACACACACACACACACCTTCAGCCAACTGCCACACAAATACACAAAAGTAGGTATAATATTCACAAGTTGTTTTTATTTAAATGTACTGTGTATATCTATATATCTCTCTCTGCAATCGCTTGTTTGAGTCACAGTCTCTGCATTCTCAGTTTCAGTATTTATTTTGTGTGCGCTTTTGCAAGTGTGTGTTGCTGCACAAGCTGCCGGCTCAATAAGTGAGATGATTAGGAGTGCTTATGCTGCTTCCTAAGTAAGCATGATTTCTCCCCCCTTACTCTCTTTTACACTTGAGCTGCCTTTTGCGTTCCTTCTTTTTTATTGCAGTTTTTTTCTCCCCCCCTTAGACATTTCTCATTCTCCCACTCCTCGGCCCTCTCATCAGCTCCCTCCCTCCCTCTCTTGTGAGTATCTTAAGTCACCCGCTGCAGCCCTGCACTGCCACTGTGTTTAATCAGACTACCTGGCAACAAAATCTGATCAGCACATATCGCTTCCGTGGGCAAATTGACATTATGCTGAATCACCGATTCTTTCATTCATTGAATGCTCATTCATTGCCTCACAGAAACACAATTCATTCTACTATTTGACTCATTTATTTCCTGTATTTTACATTGCCGTGAGCCTGTCCTGCATTCAAACCTTGCCAGCAGTGAGGGAACGAAGAGTCTTAAAAAACCACAACCCGGATTGGGCCGAGTGAACCCAGTTTTAAAAATGATAGAACAAAAAGTAATAAACATTGCTTAAAACAAGCAACACTTTATCAAATGATGGAGACAACATTTCCAACACTTAACAGTGTTTCATATATTTCAAAAATGTTTTAGGTTCAATAGACCAGATAGGATAAAGCAAAGGCTTCTTCATAAAGTCAAATAGTATCCATCCACATCTCATTAGATCGTGAAACCTAAAGCAACACGTTTCTTAGTGTACTTCCACTACAGCTAACTTAAGCGTACCCACAGAATCCCCTCTCGTCTAGCTAAAACACGTCCATATAAACCCAACGCGCTCTCTGTAATCTAAACTTGTCTGGTCTTCGTCCGCCTCCCGGCCACAGAGACACACGGGCCTCTCTGGTGTGGCCCAAACAACCCCTCTCCCTCTCTCTCCCTCTCTCTCTCCCTCTCTCTCTCCCTCTCTGACAGACCAAACACACTGCCGGCCAGACAGGCAGCATTGCTCTCCCATTGGCTCATTGCACATTCCTCACCCAATTAGAATTCCACTCATACCTGTGGAGGCGGGGCACAGTCAGGGTCAAAAAAAGAAAAAAAATTCTGTTTGCATCTAAGCTGAAGTAAGGAGCGTCTGGTTCACACAAAAACACAAACACACACCCTCCACAGACCAACACACCCATACACACTTTCACTACCGTCTGAGTGCATGTTGATATTCACCAAAATCACGTCTTACAGTTATTCTACCAGACTACTTCTAATGGATTTACTATGTTAGTACTGAATTATAATGATGGATGGTAGCGCATTAACTGCATTTCTTCTAAGGATTACTTTCAATGTCAAGTTATCTATCAATTATTGTCTGGTTTAATCCATTAATTGACTGGTCTATAAAATGTCAGCGGATAATGAATCAGACAGAGCAAATTGTGACGTCCGCACGTGTGTCATTGTGTCTGTCAAACAGTCCAAAGATTTTCAGTTTACTATCATAGAAGACTAAGAAACCCAAACAATGTTCACATCTGAGAAGCTGTAGCCAGTCCATATTGTCCACTTTCTTTAAAGAAACCTGACCCTTTTGAATTTTGACGTTTGTATAATATCTTTTTAATGTTATGTTTTTGGAAAGAGTTCTTCATAGAGGGCATGGCACTGGACCAGGAACTGTTGTGAGCCTGGATCACCAAGTACGACATCGTAGGTGATACCGGCCGGTAAAGATAAACTGAAATGGGGCAAAAACAAAATGTGATAAGCGAAGAAGTGTGTCAGATCTGTGAGCTCTGTCTTGTCCAAAATGATGCATGCTCTCCTCTCTTGAAATCCATTTTCAGAAAAAAGAAAGGACAGAGTAGGAAAAATAAACAGACAGCAAGTGGCACTACATAGCAATTAAGAAAGCACTTTTACATCCATCACAACCAAACACTCGCTGTGCCCTCCTGTGCGAATACAAAAGTATTTATTCTACCAGCGAGCACAGTCTGGTGTGTGTTTTGCTCAACTTTGAACCAGAAGAAGGACCAGGCGTCTGCCCAGCGGCACAGAGTGGTCATTTCCATTTGAATGGAGGCCCCTGGGTGCACAGTGGGGTTACATTAGCTACAGTAAAAACCATTGTTCCAGCCGTGTGTGTGTGAGTGAGTGAGTGAGAGAGAGAGACTCATGTGTGCCCTACAGAGGAAAGCCTGACCCCCCCAAAAACGAACACAAATATTCGAATTGAATAGCGTCAAAAAAAGAGCAAACGTGTCAAGCTTTTCTGGGTACGGATAAGTTTAACGAGCCAGACATTTATCTTGCTATAGCTGACACAGCAGCGAAATACCCCTCAATGGTCGTGGGTAACCTCGGCTAGCATTGTCAAATCTACCGGGATGGTTTTCAGAGAGGCTGCGGGTCGACAGTAGCTCTCATCCCGGGTACAGAGCGATGGGTTCGGCTGGTCAACTCAAACAAAAATGGGTGTAGCTAGCAAGTATTAGCGGTCAACGTTAACTACAATGTTACTAGAAGCTAACGCTATAGCTGGCTAGGAAACAAGTGTTAGCAATGGATAAAGTTGATAAACGTGGATTTTAAAGAGTCAGGGTTTCTATTGACCGGTTAGCAGCCGACTAGCCGGTTGTCTCCGCTGTAAAAAAAACAAAAAAAAAAACATGATAGTGAATAGCTTCTCGCCTGTCCTCTCGGTAATGTGGTTAGCACCTAAGCTAACAAGCTAGCACTTGTGCCGCTGTGTTTGCCACACAAAAACCGGATGTTTGGGCAAACAGCAGAGCCGAGAGACACTTCGATGAGTCGTGTTAGGTTCGCTAACAGCAACACGTTACAAAAACGGCGTATAGGGGAACCGTTTAGCCTCAGTTAAAACATGCACCGTAAGCGCTTTCTTTTCGGTGTCGTTTTTTTTTTTACCTGTCAGTCGGATTTTGATGCTGGACCCGTTCCGCCGAGTCCCAGGATTCGACATCACTCCGGGAAAAAACGATCACACAAACTTCCCGTCGGAGTCCCCCCAAAAAACACCGTTTCACCACTTAATGGGAACGCGAATAACTCCAGTTTAAAAACATGCGGTTTGCTTTTGTTTTCCACACGGGTAAAAATGTATTATTTCATCGCAAAGTCTTGCTCTCTTTCGAAATCCAACAACACGGGAGAGCATTTTCGGGCAGGCTCAAGCACGTACTGACGTCATGTCCTTAACGGGTATTACGTTACGAGCTCGCGTCCGAGAGGCGTGGGCGTGCCCGTAAATATCAGATTCTTCTATTCAGACCTTCAGTTTTGCTTTTATTTTAGGTAGGTCTACTGTATCCTACATTAAAGGACGAAAACCCCCCTGATTGTTTATGCTTACTGGCAGAAGTTAACCACGCCTATTATGTTTTAATAATTTACAAACAAGAAAGTGTGATAATAAACAGATAACGTGGGAAATCAATAATCATATTTTGTTTCTTTGACATGTACTATGAGTGTTTTCTGCTTTCTCCCATCTCCCAACACTTCTCCAATACCACCAGTCCCTGGATATATAGATATATTAATCTGTCTGATATTAAACATCACTATTACATAGAAAATAAAAGTATTTCCACAAGATAAGAAAGAAGATGTTTTGCATTCTTTTAAGGTTATTCTCTTTTCCCACATGATCTCTCGCAATCTCGCAATCTCACTCATTTATATTCAGAGCTTTCGATTATTTAACTGCTCCATAATAATAAGCCCATAATAGCAATATCATTGTAGGCATAATCAGGACCAACATTTAATCAGCAAGTATAGTCCTGCTGTTAGCAAAGTGAATTCATTTGAGAACTCAATTAATATAGTGTCTGCGGAAACCTCCAACCTACAGCATCACTTTTGAAATGGCAGAGAACTCACAAGCTTCATCCAACAGGTTTGTGATCAGAAAGATCAAAGATGAGCAACAATAATACCACATGGTTAATGAGACTTTAGTGGCCTGTTGGATTAAAAACATTGGTGTTTGACAGAGTCTTGATTTAAATTTAATCAGGGCACGCGGTAGATTTGCATGCACCCAAAAATAGTTTATTCATCTCTTAAGGCTAAGTCTTTGTTCCAAAATCTGTGTTGAGAGTTGATTAATACTGACTTCTCAAGTTAAGAAATGCAACTTGACTCTGGAGCCGACTCACATCTGTGGACCGCAAAATTGGTCAACTCAGCGGCACATTAGGGTTTCCTCCCAGCACACATCTTAATTTAGTAGATCAACATTTTAATGAAAAATCTGCAGCACTGCAGTCAAGCTATCGGCCCGGTGAGGCTGTGCTTCAGAACAGAGGGTCCTTGAGCTGAATGCTAACATGCTCACAGTTACAATGCCAATATGATGTCTTTTGTTAATTAGCACTAACACAAAGGGGTGGCTGATGCCAATTTCACTAGTTTGGCAGCTGTTTGGTCACATAGCAAAGTATTTGAAAATAAAAAAATGTGACCGAAGTCACGGGGTCACCTATCCATCCAATAGTTGTTGCATGGCTAAAAAAATGAATGCGAGGATAATAATACAGGTGCACTGTTCACCTGAATAACGAGAGGGGGGCGTCTCTTACAGGTAGATTTCAATTGTTGGAGTTTTCAACAAGCATTTAAATGCAACAACAGGAGACATCATTGAGTATTTTAAACTGCAATTATGCACAATTACAATTATGGTGATAATGAAGATGAGGGTATCACCCAAGAATGCAGATGTGACATAAATTGAAGATGAAGAGAACGCGTTGCTTTATCTGCAATGATATGTCGCGCTTCACAAAATGTTTGTCAGGATTGTAAAGTGCAGTCCGCTGAAGGCTGAGGGAGAGCTGGGTGGGCAGGGATAATGGCTGGAGGGATTTGGCTGCACGGCTGCAGTATTAGCTGGTGGAACAATGGACCCTCTCACCAGCCTGTTTACAGGACACAGTAAATCCACATAAGCAGTGAAACGGCTCATGGGACACCACTCACTTCCAGAGGCTAGGCTCACGCTCACACACACACACACACACACACACACACACACACACACACACACACACACACGCTCATAAAGGCAAGGGCCACAGGTGGAAGGGATGATTTGAAGATCTTTCAGTCTCCTTTTTTAGTTTTAGTCTCTTCTTCCCACTTTCTTGTAATTTTTTTTATCTACAACCGCACTGCACATGTCTAACTCCCACTTGTGGTTGTTAGTATCATGTATGTGTCAACGCTCCACAGGTGCAGAAACAGATTGGCACATACACATGCACATAAATTAGTCTATCCCTCTGAAACAGTCACGTACAGCTGTTATTATGATTATGTGATTATATGTGTGTGTGTGTCTATATAGTGTGTCGGTGTGTGTGTGTTTATATAGTGTGTGTTTTAGTCATTCAAAGATGAAAATTAAGATGAAGTCATTCAGAACAGTTGGGAAATCCCACCGGGTGGCCAAATGTGAGTTTCGTCTCGCAAAATGAAATAGAAATAAGAAAAGAAGAAATACAAAGGGGTAAAAGAAATAATTACATTCAGCTATAATAAAAAGGGAAGAAGGTAAAGAGGATCAGTGGGGGTTTGTATACATGTTTGGATATTTTTGTTCCTGAGAGTCTCCATATCATTTCAAACTACAACATTGTTGCTTTTTTAGAAAGCTGAGAAATATGTGTCCATCAGAGCCTCCTTTGGGACACAAGAGCAGCAGCTGCTTCCGTTCTGAGGAATCTCGTGGAGATTGAGGAGAAATTCTGGATACGATCAAGACAGCGCCGCTCAACCGAGTGAAGTTTCCTCGAAAGCGTCCCAACAAGCTGAGGTGGACACAATAGTTTTCTTCTCACCATGAGAGTTGCTCGGGTAAAACTCTTTCATATTTGGCCTTGAATCGTACCCTCTCTGTCTCTCTACACAGGTTTCAAAAGGAAACACATAACCTGCCATATACTGACAAGAGCTGGTTACATTAACGTTGCTTCGTATCAATGGTTTTGAGTCAGTGGTCTGAAAGTGGGCACTATATAGAGCAACAGAATGAAGGCAACTGTAAAATTGAAAAATATGAGGCCCACTCTGTCTCTGTGCATCAATGGTTTTAATTGAAGAGGCCTTACTCGTCCCAGTTTCCCACCGGCCGCACGGAGAAGAAGCAACAGACAGTTAAGAGCAGAGTCACGGTGGGGTGAAAATCGAGGTGTGGTGGAGCCGAGAGATGGAGAAGATAGCTCCAGTGATGGGGTGAGCCGCTACGTCAGCATGAGCATCTATGTAAGCTTGTTACAGCACCATGAAAAGACCTATTCAAAACCATGTCCTCATGACACCTCGAAGACAGTAGAACAACGTTGTTTTGTTCCCCAAATAGCTTGGTCACTAGGTAATTTGGGCTGTTTTAACCAGAAGCTGAATGGAGCAAGTTCAGCCCCCATTTCACTCATAAATGTCACATTGTTTGTCACGGGGAGTACTACTCAGAGTATTATATCTTCTGTGGCTCAGGAGGAGCTTTGTCAAATCTTAGAAATAACCCTGATGTCATCACAAATTTAGCAAGAGCCGCAGTTACAAAATAGGGAAGTGGAGTTTTCTTTTTAACTGTCTATCAAAATGGAAAGTGGATGTAACAAAAAAGAAAAAAGACAGTATTTTTTTCACAAAGCAACACCTCAACTGCATTAAACTTTATGTATTTTCATATTCAGATATCAAACAAAACTTTTCCCTTAAATGCACTGGACTTTTCTTTTTCTGCACAGGTTAGATGGGAAAGGGAAGATACACAAGGGGAAAGGGAAGGAAAGGCATGTGAGGGTGCCTCAGAAACAGATTTGTGTGTTGATCGTTTTATTCTTCAGACCTCTTTATATGTTCCTATCCGCTTCTAGACTCGGGCCTCTTCTGTGTGACGATCAACCCGTACAAATGCCTGCCCATCTACGGCGCTGAAGTGGCCCGGATATACAAGGGGAAGAAACGCAACGAAGTTCCTCCTCATCTCTTCTCCATCTCGGACAACGCCTACCACGACATGCTGATGGGTCAGGAGCGTCAAAGACGGGGTCATCATAGGTCACTGGGGAGGGGGGGAGGGGGAGGAGGTTGAGTTGGCAAAGAGGAGAAGTAAGCATGCAATTGTATGTGGTGATGTGGTATAACTCGCCTCAAGGCGAGTTGCTTAAAAGTCATTACACTGTTCTTTATGTGGAAAGAGGGAGCGGGGCAGTTGCTGTGTAATCAGCGTGGCGTGTGATGATTTGTTCAGGGAGCAGAAAAATATTTGAAGCCATTATATGGCATCAGGGGAGAGCTGACAGCTGTCTGTGTTGTTGGTAATGCTGAGAGAAAACATCAGCTGTCCTCTGAAAATCAGCAGCAATTATTCTCGTCTCCCTCACACTCTCTGTTTCTCTCCCACCCTCTTCATGTCCCATCATTGCAGAGCAAGAAAACCAGTCTATGCTGATCACGTGAGGACATATTTAAAAACATACTGTATATAGAAGGTGTAGCCTACATGTGTCACTATTACAAACTCCCTATTTGTTTCCCTTCCTCCAGTGGAGAATCTGGTGCTGGCAAGACTGAAAACACCAAGAAGGTCATCCGGTACTTCGCCAATGTTGGAGCTTCTGGGAGCAAAGCCTCTGACAAGCATGTATTTGTGTATGCATAGACATTATATGCTTTATGTGACAAACCCATGCAAATTCATCTCACATTCATATTTTCCTCTTCTCTCCTCTCCTCTCCGGGCTCCTGGAGGACCAGATCATTCAGGCTAACCCAGTGCTGGAGGCATTTAGCAACGCCAAGACCATCCTCACGCTTTGTAGGGACACAAATACAAAAAATCAAATGAAATAATGAATGTCCATGGGATGACAACAGTACAATCAGAAAATATGTGAGAATAACATATATGTATTGTTTTAGGGAAAGTTTATCCGCATCCACTTTGGGCCAACAGCTAAACTGGCTGGTGCCGACATTGAGAGCTGTAAGTTTCATTCATTTGTTCTTTTATTACCTCGGTCAAATACCAAAGTCTAGGTTTTTACATGGTAGTATTCATGAAATGAAGATGTCATCCTGCCAAAAAAACAACTGTAAGCTGCGAGAGGAATATAATAAGTATCTTTAAAACCAATCGTCTCGCTTCAGATCTGCCGGAGAAATCAAGAGTGATTTCCC